CTTCTCTCTTCTCGTCCCTACTCCCCTCCCCATTTTTGTCGTCCTCTGGTTCTACCCCCCACCCCACCCCAGTCTACCTCCCGTCCTAGTCCATCCTTCCACCTCCCACCTACCCCCCATCCTACCCTCCCCACACGCTCTCTACCTCTCGCCTCTTTTAGCACTGTGGGGAAGGAAATTACCTCGCCGTTCTCGCCCGACCCGTGGTTGGGGTAAGGTCCTCTCAAGGCCTCGTGGAAGTACAGACACATGGCCCTTCTCTAGGCAGAAGAGAAGAAGAAGAAGAAGAAGACACATGGCCCTTTTCTAGGCAAAGAAAGAGAAGAAGAAGAAGAAGAAGAAGAAAGAAGAAGAAGAAGAAGGTAAGTACACATGGATCTTCCTCCAGCAAAGAAAGAAGAAAGAAAAGAAGAAGAAGAAGAAGAAAACTAATAAAAATTAAAATAATAAGTAATAATAATAATAATAATAATAATAATAATAATAATAATAACAACAACAACAATTACAGAAAAATACACATATTTCTTGGTAATGCCTCACACTCACTCTATTTATGAATAACTGTTACAGCGAAAAGGTCACCATTAAATAGTTCGAAATGCGCAAAATACATAAAAGGAAAAAGGCCAAACCGTATCCGCAAAAGGACGACCACAACAATGAGCAATAAAAAGTACGAAGAAGAAGAAGAAAAAGAAAAAAAGAAGAATGACTTACAGGAGAGAAAGCCAATAATCATCCCCCCCCCCCAAAAAGGAGACGGCGAAAGAGGAAGAGAGAACACACGCCGAGGGACAAAGGCCAAAATGCCGCTTAAAATGGACCCCACCCCCCCCCTGGACCCCTCCCCCTCCGGCCGCGTGAAGAGGCACTGCAAGAGGATCCGGCCAAAGGAGGCACGAAAAGGCACGAAAAAACACGAAGCCTTCCGCCCCGCAACACATGGCCCATTAGTACCACTAAAACGCCTCGACTCTTTCTTTCATGTACACTTTCTCTTCATCTATTCCTTCTACTTTTTCGTCTCTCTCTCCCTCTGTCGCATTTCTCCCTTCTTTTGCCGCTGTCCCTCTAATATATGCACTCAAAACTAGAGCATACAGCTTATTCCATTGTGTTACACACACACACACACACACACACACACACACACACACACACACACACAACACACACACACACACACACACACACACACACACACACATACACACACACGCACACACACACACACACACACACACACACACACACACACACACACAATTACACATACACACACACCACAGTGCCACACCGGTGCGAATTTCTTTGAGAGGATGATAAGCCGGATTGTCAAGCGAGTGCCTGAGAGGTCGAGGAGTGACAGGCCGGAGTGCCTAACAGGGCCAGGTGAAGGAGGCGCTCTCTCTCTCTCTCTCTTCTTTTCTCTTCTCTTCTCTTTCTTTTCTCTCTCTCTTCTCTCTCTCTCTCTCTCTTCTCTCTCTCTCTCTCCTCTCTCTCCTCTCCCTCTCCCTCTCTCTCTCCTCCCTCTCTCTCCCTCTCTCTCCTCCCTCTCTGCCTCCCTCCCTCCCTCCTCCCTCTCTCCTCCTCCCTCCCTCCCTCCTCTCTTCTCTCTTCTCCCTCTCTCTCTCTCCTCTCTCCTCTCTCCTCTCTCCCTCTCTCCCTCCTCCTCTCTCCTCTCCTCCCTCCTCCCTCCATCTTCCCAGTCCATTCATAACGAAAATCCCCCGAAGGAGAAGCCTGATCCGCGCCTCGCCTTGGAATACTTTTACGCTCGTTCATTCATCGCATGCATATGCTAATGGCGGGAGGCAATCTAACTCGGAATCGAAAACAGCAGAAGATGACAGTTACATATTCATATCGGGCCGCCTTCCATCCCGCCCGAGTCAGCCCACCGTTCCTGGGCATCAGGTCGTCTTTAACATAACGGCATATCTACTCGCCGCCGCATTAAGACTCCTTAAAAGAGAGGGAAAAAATCCCTAAGCGTGTAAACACCACACTTGTGTTTGTACGTCTTATACTCTTGTACTTGCACTCACACCAAAAAGGGGGCGAAGGGATACGAAATAAAGAAAAGGGGAGAAAAAAGGTGCAAGGGAAGGTGTGGGAGGGGGAAGGGTAAGAAAGTAGGGCTTGAGGAAGGAAGGGAGGGGGTAAGGGGTAAGGGGAGGGGCAAAGGTAAGAGAACAGAGCCTGAGGAAGGAGAGAGAGGAGCAAGGGGTAAGGGGGGAGACAAGGGCAAGGCAGTTGGACTTCAGGAAGGAGTAAGGGCGTTAGACTAGAGAAAGAAGGGACGGAAGGTAAGGGATAAAGGGGGAACAAAAGCAAGAGAATAAAACCCGAGGAAGGAAAGAGAGACGGAGAATAAGAAGGGGGGGGGTAAGGGTGGGGGGACAAGGGTAAGGGAGTAAGGCTTGAGGAGGGAGGGATCAGATCGGCGACGCGGTTAAAGGAGATGTAGTCTACACTAACGAATCCCGGGCGCGCTTAACAGACTGCTACGCCCCTCGCTCTTAAAGCAGATCACCTCAAAACTCTCAGACCAGGAGTCAATCTTCCCTCCCAAGTCTCAGCTGGTTTTTTTGGACGTCGCTTTAAGTCTTCGTCGCAACACCGAGGATAGCTATGGTGTCTGTGTCAGAGCACACGCAAAACCGACGCACAGAGGTCGCAAGAATATATATATCATATCATAATTACACTAACATATTTGGCGAAATCAAAATTTGGCATCTGTCGGAAAGCGAATTCTCTCTTACAACCGTCAATCCCCCTTTTCGCATGCCAAATTTCTATTCCCCTCCTGCTAAACCCCTTTCCAATTTCACCCTTAATTTGGACTTATCTTTTTTTACTTCGCCTTCATTCGCCGTAAGAAAAGAATATATAGGGAAAGAAAAATACACAGACCTTACTTTTTTGCCCAAACTTCGAGTCTCTGCATATTGCCCCGCATGCATAAGAGAATAAAACGGCATTTAGGCCTATTTTCTTCCACTTTGGAGTGTGATTTACAGCCTTAATCTCCACCCAGACAGGAAACTGCACAGTGTAGGTCCTACCCCCCCCCCGTCCCAACTGAGAATCCCCACCAAAATATAAAGATTCAAACGTAAAGAGAGAGAGAAAAACACAACAAAAAACAGAAAAAAAAATTAAAGGAAATACTTTAAAAACAGGCATTACCACTCGAGCGCAACAACGTCATTTGCATACGAATAAACAAGGCAAACATCGCTCCTAATTAGCCCTCATCGTGTCGTAAGTGACGAATCAATGTCCTCCCTTTCTCTGCACCCCCCCCTCCCCTCCCTTCCGTCTCTCCCTACTAACAACCACTAACCACAACCCACTCTATTCATACTCCCTAACCACAACTCCCATCCCTACCTATCCCCCTCACTAATCCCAAACCTTGCCCCGACGTCTACAGACTCCCCTCCCCCTCCTGCCCATACAAACCCCCTCACCCCTCCTCTCCAGCCTACCCACACTCATACCCCCAACGAACCCCCACTTCTACCCCCACCCAGATCCCACTCACACACCCCAACTCATCACATCACCACTACCCCACCCCCACCCAGATCACTCCACACCCCACCTCATCCATCACCACTACCCCACCCCCCAACCCAACTCCCAACCTCCACCCCCTCCACCTACCCCCCTCACCCCCACCCACCCCGAACCTGTCCCTTTTACTGCTTTCCCCTCGGTGCAAGCTGCCCTTGGACCCGCGACCCAAAGTCTATCCTTCCGGACTTTCACTACTTGTCTGTTGTACATTCATAATCAATTCTAATCCAGGCGCCTTACTTATTTTGTGGTTGCTTGCTTACTTGGATGCATGTCTGTCTAGTTATCTTTATCCTTGTCTATCTATCCATCCAACTATCCATCCATCAACCACACCTAATCCATCCATCCACCTCCATCCATCCACCCACCCACCATCCACCATCCATCCATCTTTCTGTCGTTTGTTTCATTCTTAATTCTTTCACACAGGAGTTGAGAGGTTGGAAGGAAATTGTAGACGTGTGGTTATTGTGAAAATAGAATAAACAAAAGAGCATGAGTAAAAACACAAGAAAAAACATGATGACAAGAATAACAAGTAAATCCAGTAAATTCAGTAAGACAAGAGAAGGGAGGAGACAGGAGAGAGAGGAGAGGAGAGAGAGAGAGAGAGAAGAGAGAGAGAGAGCGAGGCAGGAGATTCAAGAGGAGGAGAAGTGATTGGAGAGAGGAGAGAGAGAGGAGAGAGAGAAGACTGGAGAGGGAGGCGAGGGAATATGGCGATGTTGGAGGCGTGGAGGGGAGCGGAGGAGAGACGATGTGTAGAGATGCAGAGAGAGAGAGAGAGAGCTTAGAGAGAGAGACAGAGGAGCACGAGAGCAGAGAGAGAGAGATGGAGAGAGAGAGGGAGGAGGAGGGTAACGGGAGAGGGCAGGGAGGGGGAGGTGAGGGAGAGGGAGGGAGGGAGGGGGGGAGGGAGAGAGAAAGATAAGAGAGGACTGAGAGAGAGAGAGGAGATGAAGAGAGAGAGGAGAGTTAGAGAGAGAGGGAGAGAGAGAGAGAGAGAGAAGAGAGAGGAGAGCACGAGAGAGCAGAAGAACTCACGTAGAATTAATGAGACTACGAGAATGATAGAGAAAGGAGATTAGAGGAATATGAGAGAAATAGAAAAATAGAACAGACAACGAAGTCAGGAACGCAGAAGAAGTATCGCGCAAAATAAACAGAAAGAACAAATATAGACAAAACGCTGAGGGAGAGAACAACAAAGGAAGTCCCAGACTAGGGGAGGGTGCAGAGAAGACGGCCGGGTGGCGAGAGCAATAGTGGGGACGGAAGTGTGTAGACGAGTGTGACACTCGCCAGAACAGATCACACACGCGCTCCGTATCGCGAGTGCCGGTATGCCACCATACCGATCCAGGTTGTCCCATCATTACACCATCCCCAGAACACTTGACTCTTACCCAGCTGCCAGACGTACCATACACCTCGAAACGTCCCGTTCACCTGCTCGAATCCTAGATTTAAAGAGTGCCATTCGCACGTCATAGTCCGCACATAGTCCACGAACGTGTAGAAATCTCGCTAGTCTTGAGGTCCTCGTCGTCATGATTACGCTTGCAAGGAAGAGCGTAACTGTCAAATCATATCCTCTCTCCAGGAGGATTGGAAGTCCCAATGTAACAAGACTTAATGCAATCACGAGGTAAAAGAGATTGACATGTGGTTATAAACGGTGTAGTCAATTGACATTGGACAAAGCTGCTTCGGGAGTAGGGGAACTTGCAGAACATTGCACTGCAAGAAAGGAGTCTCTGGTGTGTGTGTGTGGCACTCGCACCTCTCAGGTTAACGGCCGAATGTTTTTTTTTTTGGTCTCACAGGACTGATGAAAGTCAAATCCTGAAACGCTGATTTTAGTCCGCATCAACTACATCTGTAATAACAATAAGTGGCAATCTTTCGCTTGCGCTTAGAGAGAGCCCCACTCTCGGACAGCTCATCTAGGGTCGGGAGTGCCTCGTGACAAGGCTATCTATCTATCTATTGTTCTAATCATCGATATTCACATATCCTATCATTATCTATGCTGCGTTTGTCTACATGTCTATTATGTCACGCTATACGCCAACTTAGGACTCTTTAATAGAATGTAAAATTCGCTGGTGTTAGCAACTGGCCAAAAGTAATTTGTCGACGCAGGCAATACTCTCCCGTGAGAGAAACCATCTCGTCGCGCGACATCGCGAGGTATATACTCTACACTCGCATGATTTCTCGCAAAGAACGAGAGAACAAAAACACCAATGTCAATGCTACCGACTCGAAGTAAGTTACTGCCGGCCAATGCACCCTGGTGTCACAACAGACCACAGACCAAAGAGAACATACAGCACACGTGACGCACACATGACAACACAGACATCACACACAACACACGGCACACACACACACACACACACACACACACACGAACACACACGCGACTACATCGCAACATTCAAGGGCAACGCGTAATCAGTATGTAGGATCGAGCACACTAACACATCTACTCGTCGTCTTCTCATCAACATCTCCATCTCTCGGTCGTCTCTCTCGCTCTCTCTTCTCGTCTCTCTTCTCTCTCTTCTCTCTCTCTTGCGGCTCTATACTCACTCGATCGAGATCTTAAGGATTCCGCGGGTGACTCGACGGGATACAAAACGTACATATTCTTCGGTCGGACTCTGACTAATCTTTTTAGCGGCGTCTTATGTGTCGTCGCGGTACCGATATCATAGTGTCAAATGATGTCACAGCTCAAGGGTTGTCCAGATAACATGTACCGGCGTGGATAGCGAAGGATACGCCGGTCGGGAGCGCGAACAAAGAGGATAGGTGGTCGACTGGGCTCTGGCAACGTCAACGGGTCAGCGCCGAGGTCAGCCCGGGTCACTTTTCGCTGCACATTTCACGGCACGCACGTTCTTGCGTTTCTGCAACACAGGCAATATAAAGGGTGATGTAGATGGCAAGTTGAAGCAACAACGGCAATCGACGGGACTTTGCCAATGAGGAGTGTCGAAACGCAACAAATTGGCCAATGGCGCAACACCCCCAAGTATCTACAACTTACGTAACAGCTGTTGCTCCACATTTGGCATTCAACCAAAGTACCCAAGCATTTTCCGGAGAATAATCTTGCACAGGAGACACCCCAACATTTATCCAAAACATTTACAAAACATTCTACCCCGTCGTGTAGGAGGCTAAAGGTTACACTAACAAACGCAAGGGACACTCGCCTTTACGCCCCGTATAGCTTAAGGTAAAAAGTTCTTTGGCCCTCGTAGTGATATGTCGCCTCTGGTGGTGCTGCAGATTCAAGCCGGGTCATACAACACCTTCAGCGATAATGACCCTTAAAGCGCTAGTCATTAGAGTCTAAATCAGCATCCAGATCCAACACAGCTGTTCACATAGGACGGATCACAGGACACACATACACACAAACACACACCCAAACTCAGAGGTAGCAACGAATCTGGACTGGGACAGAGTGTGGGCGGGAGATGGGGTGTGGGCGGGAGATGTGTGGTGGGCGGGGGATGGGCGTATTGAAGGTGGCAGATATGGAGATCTTTGGTGAAAAATTATGGAGTGGCGCCGCTGTCGCAGCAGTGGGTGTGGCGAGCAACTGGCGGCCGTCGCTTAAGGGATACAGAAGGGCGAATAAACGAGCGATCTCTGGCAACTCATAAAATACACACCGATAGTGTGGTTGGCCCATATTGGGGACTGGCTAATCATGCATAACAAAAGCATCCGTTGGGCACAACTTAAAACTGCAGAGGCATGAAAGCCAAGAGCGACAGTGTGGAAGTGTTTGTTGAAACGATTTTGAAATACAGGACTGGTGATGATGGTGAGTGATGAATGAACTTGGTGGTGATGGTGTCATGGGTGATGGGTGGGGGCGGTGATGAGTAGGATCGTGTAAAGATGGTGCGGGTGGCGCGCTCGCACTCGCGCTCGCGCTCGCGCCGCGCTGGTGAGTGGTGGATGGATAGGTGGTGGGATAGAGATAGAGAGGCGGTGGTGGTGATGGTGATGAATGTGATGGTGGGTAGTGGTGTGATTTGATGAGTGGTGGTGGTGGTGTGGTGATGATTGGTGATGGTGGAAGACGAAGACGATGATGATTAATTAATGGGCAGGGAAAGGACGGTAAACGAGAGGGGGGGGGAAGCTAACAACCTTTAACACACGGACGTCATCACATAGTGCAGACGTCTATTGTAGGGCCCTCCTCCACACATTACTGGCAAAGAATGAGAAGATACAAATTACACCTTAACCATACTTTTTTTAATCAAATAATAAAAAAAACATTACACTTTAAAAAAAACTCACACTCAAATCAAAATATAATAAAATGTCCAGATAGGGCCGCAACTAGTGCGCCGAAGACAAGACCCAGTCCGTCAGCCTGTAACAAAGCAACAAATGCCATCAAGGAGTCCCACCATTTGCGATTCCACCAAGAGCCAAACGGAAGGACGGCAGGTAAGTTCACGCAGTTCCGAGCCAACTCACACCTTTTTTTTTTTTTCTCGACATAATCTGCCTAATTCCTTTCTTTCGCAAACACGCCGACGTCTTACTTAAAAATGCAAAGGTCCCTAAGAGAAAACAGAAGAAAGAGAGAAGAGAAAAGAAACAGAAAACGGAGGCTCCATGAAAATCATTTCACATGCAAACGGACTCTCCTGGCGCAGATACCGAAGGGAAAGAAGAAAACAAACGAGAGAAAACTTCTTTTCTTTTCGCACGTCGATGAGTCTTCTGTCCCTCCCTATGTTCTTTTACCTCTTCATCATCCTTTCTGTTCTCTGTCCGTATCCTCTTCTCTTATGTTGACTATTTATAGGCGTCGTCGGCTTGTCTTCGGTCTTTCGCTTCCCTCCTATCTACATTCTATTTGCTTTTGCCATGTCCCTCCCTTTCTTATCTTTTATTAAGCGCCCTCGTTGGTCCTCACCTCCACCATCTTTTCAGCCTCATATTTATCTTCCCTCACGGTTCCTCTCGTTCCCTATTCCTCCCACCATATCCCAGGGTAAGGAGGAGAAAACTTAATTACACAGCGGGCACAACAGACATATAGCGGAGAGGTCGCCCATAGTGTTGTTGAGGCGGGGAAGCTTCTCCCCTACCCATTGTTGCCCATCCTCACCCTGTCCCCGTCTCCTTCCATCACCCTTCCTATCAACGCTTCCCATTCCCCCTTATCCCAAAACCTGATAGCCAATGCCCCCAAACGTCCTACCTTCCATACACAGGGCCGCGACGTCCTCCTCTTCCCCTCCTGTCTTTTCTTCTTGCTTCTATCACTTCCCCCCATTTTCCTTCCCTCCTTTCTTTTCTCTCCCACCGCACTCATCTCTCCGCACCTTGCTTTGCCCCATTGCCGGCTGCCTCTCTCAGTGTCGCCCTCGGAGTGGACCCCCTCCCGCCTTGCCGCTTCTTCTAATATCCCACCCTTCCTCCTCCGTTCCTGGGTATGACCGCCTCCTGCGTCGCGCCGCTTTGACCTTCCATACGTCCTACGATCACCTCTCGCCCCTCTGCGTCGCCTTTCGACCGGATCCCTCGTAGCCTCCCCTCTGCCCGCAATATAGTGCCTCCTGCCTACATCTCCTCAACAAGTCCCCTTTGATCCTTCCTCACGTCTTCCCTCTGCACCTTGCTATATCCGGTCCTCCTCCCCGTCCCCCTTGCACTTCCTACCACATACCCTCCATCCTCGTACGCCGCATTGGCTTATAGTGTTCTGTGACTCCTCCGTCCCCCTCCCCTTTGCCTTCCTCCTGCCCTCCCTCTCCACCTTTTACCTCCTTCAGTTCCTTCTCATCCGCCCGATTATAGCGGGCATCGACTTGGATTTGTGCCACTTAACTCTTTCCGATCCCTATCCCGCCGGCTTGTTAGTTAACAGTTGACGTTCGGGTAAGTCTAAACCTGCCTCCCGTAAACTCGACTGGCGCGTCACCGCCTTCTCTTCAGTGGTTCCCGTCGAGGCCCCCTCCTCTTCCCTCCATTGCTGCACCTCACCTCCCCGTCCTGCCCTGTTATGCTGCATACTCCATCCACCTCCACCCCCCCCCCCACCTCTACCCGTCAATCAAACTCCCGCGGAGTATCCGGCGGAACCTACAAACGCCGCATCGAAAATTGGATAACCGATTTCCTATCTGGCTCCCAGCTTCTGTATTACTTTCCCTTCCTCTTTTATTCCACGCGTTCTTTTGTTCTTTGTTCAACCCCACCTACCGTGCCTCCCACTTCCCCTCTCCCCCCCACCTACCGTCCCTCCCACTTCCCCCTCTTCCCCACCTTCCCTCCCACTTCCCCTCCCCCCCCCCCACCTTCTCCCTCTTACAGTGAAACGTGCAAGTGGGAATCTACAAGTACAAAAAAATAACAACACCACCATCTATATAAACGTAAATACAAACGTAAACTAACTACACACCAACGTAAACACAACCCTAAAATCCACAACCGGGCAGAACCCAAATCAAACCCCTTCCCTTCCAAAGTTATGCCTCCTTCCGGTCAAAAATTCCA